GGTGGAGGGAGGGGAAGGAGGAGGACTGTGGGGTCCTTGGCGCTCTCTGAGCTGGGTGGTTTTCTTGCAGACGTTTCGTGACCCAACTAGGGAACGTCATCAGGGCTAGAAGGGAGTGAGAGAGGTGGATAGGAGGAGGACTGTGGGGTCCTTGGGGCTCTTCTGAGATTGGTGGTTTTCTTGAAGACGTTTCATGACCCAATTAGGGAACATCATCAGGGCTAGAAGGGAAAAGGGTTTGCGAGGAAGAGGAGGAGGAGGAGGAGGAGGAGGAGACAACGACAACAACTCTGGGGTTCTTGGTGCTGTCTGAGTTTGGTGGTTTTCTTGAAGACGTTTCACGACCCAGCTAGGGAACATCATCAGTGCCGGAAGACAGAAGCTCTCTCTCTCTCTCTTTTTGTCATAATCTCACCGTACGGTCCTCACAACATCACACAAAACAGCAATTGACTTTGGAAGTCATGCGCCCTGTGGCGGCACCACTACACTGCTTTGGGCACCGCCAAGGCGCAACGACGCTGCTCCGGCGGATGCCCTGAACACCACAGAAAGGGTTCGCAGGGGACCACATCACCTGGCTAGTAGGTCTCCAGTTTTGGAGGAATCTGAATTTTGAGTAACTACTCTCTGATTTAATTTTAACAATGGGTTGTGTGGTTGGCTAAAAGACTATGGGCCAAAATAGCCACAAACCCGTGCAGGGCTCTCACTTACTTAACCACATCGTGTGCGTTTCGGTCCCAATTACTGTCGTAAGTTAAGGACTATCCGTGCAGCTCTGGAGCCATAAACCGTGCCAAAAATGGTAAGCTTTCTAACAATCATGGTTTTCTTTTATGGGGTGTTAGCAAGGAAGACATAGCAACAGATTAAACATGTAGTAGGACTATCCAGGTATGAATGCAAATTTAACTCTCTCTACAGGTAGTCCTCCAGTTACGATTGTTCATTTAGTGACTGTTTGAAGTTAGAACAGCACTGGAAGCAAAAGGACTCTGGGCCGTTTTTCACACTTAGCGACCACTGGAGCATCCCCATGGACAAGGGATCAAAATCCAGGCACTTGGCAACTGACTCATACTTACGACCGTCGCAGTGTCCCGGGGTCCCCTTTTGCGACCGTCCGACGAGCCAGTCAACGGGGACAGCCTGACTCGTTTAACAACCCTGCAGCTGACTGAGTTATCAACTGCAGCGATTCACTTAACAACGGTGTTACACTCATCTGACACCTGCAGTGGTTGAATCCACAGCAGCCAGAAAGGTCAAAAAATGGAGCGGAACTCGCTGAACAACTGTCTCACTTTACAACAGAAATCCTGGACTCAATTGGGGTGTGTGTGTGTGTTGTAATTCAAGGATGACGGGTGATCAAATTCCACTTGTGTTTGGAAGTGGAGGTATAATTGAAAATCCTATCTAAAACATTAAAACTGTTTTTTGCATCTTCCCAAGCCCTCTGCTCTTTCTCTGACTATAATAATAATAATAATATTAATAATAATAATAGTAATAGTAATATTATCATTAATAATAATAATAATAATAATAATAAGGAGGAGGAAGAGGAGGAGGAGGAGACGGAGACACAGGTTTGGTTCACTGACATTGCAATAATACTTGGTGATGTACAAATTGAAGACGCGCAGCAAGAAAAAATCTCAAAGTATCGGGATTTACAAATTGAAGTTTGGAAAAAGAAATCATGTGTTATCCCAATTGTAATTGGAGCCCTTGGAGAAATACCCTAAAGGGCTGCCTCGCTATTTAGAAATTCTGAATTTATCAGACTTGAATAACCCGATTCTACAAAAAAAACCACCCTACTTGGAACAGCTTATATCCTCCGACGCTACCTGAACATTTCCTAGGTCCTTGGTTAGGACTCGAGCTGTTGAGCTACCAACCAGCCCCAAAAGGCTGTGAATCTCACACTATAAAGATTAACCAATAACAATAATAATAATGATCAGTGTTTTTATAAAGTTTCCACAAATCTGCCGTTCAAACCAGGTTTAAAAGGATGTTGGTTAGCTGCAACTCCATCTCAGATTAAGCCCAAATGGGGTTTTAGAGAACCAGTGAAGGAAGTTTTCTCTGGTCCCCTTGCAAAATTTACATCCCGACCCCTTCCTTTTCCACGAATACACGTTTTCCCCTCCAAAAAAACAACAACCCTGTGAGGTAGGCCAGGCTGAGAGAGAGGAGAGGCCCCCGCAGGAGGCTTGGCTGAGGGAAGACTCGAATCCGAGTCTCTGTACTCCTACTTCAACACCCGACCACAAAACCACAGGTGTCCCTCTCCGAGCCAACTCCCTGCAAAAGCCATTTCGCAACAGGGTATAAGAACCTGAAATGCCATAAAAGGCCTTTCGACGAAAGGAAAAGTGAGACGAGAAGGACGGCAAATAAGTTTCATAATGAATGAATGAATGAATGTGAAATCCAAGAAGGAAGGAAGGAAGGAAGGAAGGAAGGAAAGAAAGAAAGAAAGAAAGAAAGAAAGAAAGAAAGAAAGAAAGAAAGAAAGAAAGAAAGAAAGAAAGAAAGAAAGAAAGAAAGAAAGAGTGGAATGAATGAAGGAAGGACTGGAATGAATGAAGGAAGGAAGGAAGGAAAGCGAAAGTAAGTAAATAGAAAGAAATAAGTAAATAGGAGGGTAGGCAAGGAGATAGAAATATGTAGGTAGACAGATTAATACATGATAGACTATAGATAGATAGGTAGGAAGGTAGATAATGATGGGTAGATGGGTAGATAGATAGATAGATAGATAGATAGATAGATAGAGATAGATAGATAGATAGATAGATATAGATAGATGATGGATAGATTGATATAGATATTAGATAGATGATGGATAGATAAATAGCTAGATGATTGATACAGATATAAGATAGACAGATGATGGATAGATAGATAGATGATTTATAACCACAACTGAACCCAAACTTTATGTTGCTAACTGAGACAGAGGAGTGAGTTTTGCCTCATTTTGCAAACTTTCCTTCTACGAGTCGTTAAGGGAATCACTACAGTTGCTGTCAACGCGGTTGTTAAGTGAATCTGGGCTTCCCCTTTGACTTGGTTGGTCAGAAGGTCGCAAAAGGGGATCACAGGACCCCGGGATGCTGCGACGGTCGTAAATACGAGCCAGTTGCCGCTTGCCTGAATTTCGATCACACAACCATGGGGGGGTGTGTGTGAAATCCTGCAACGGTTGTAAGTGTGAAAAACGGTTGTAAGTCTCCTTTTTTAGTGCTGTTGGAACTCTGAATGGTCACTAAACGAACTGTCGTAAGTCGAGGACTATCTGTGGTCCATTTTGACCCAGTTTCCTATCTGGAGGGCACCAAACTTGGAAAAGGAAGATTTAAAACCACTGGAGATATTTTGTCTACAGACTTACAACAGTTCCATTTAGTGACCGTTCAAAGTTACAACGGCAATGAAAAAAAATGACACATGACCGTTTTTCACACTTACGACCGTTGCAGCCTCCCCGTGATCCAAATCCAGATGCTTGGCAACCAACTCGTAATTATGACGGTGCCTCTGTCCTCCCAGGATCCCGTTTTGCAACTTCCCGAGGAGCCAAATTAACAGGGAAGCCAGATTCACTTAACGACCGGATTACCAGCCTATCCACCGCAGCGATTTGCTTAACAACGGTGGCAAGAAAGTTCGTAAAGCGGGGCAAAGCTCACTTAACAAGCGTTTCACTTTAACAACGGAAATGTTGGGCTCCATTGGTGTCGTAAGTCGAGGAAAAACCTGTATATTGTGTGGAATTCAGAAACGCACACCAAAATACTCCGCCCACCCCTCAAACATTAAAAAAAGTTATAAGATAAAAAGATGGTGCACTCAAATGGGTAACTAAGGGTGAAATCTGTGGAATTATTAATATTAAGATGGAATTTATTGAATAATGAAATAAGAATTTGTGATGAAATGGCAAATATGACAGATAAAAGCACAAGAATAGAGTGAATATAGAATAAGAAATAAAGAAGTTTAAGATGTTATATAAAGAAGATAAGAGTATAATTAAAGAAAAATAGAACAAGTTATATGAATTAAAATTGGATAAAATAAAAGTAAACAGTATAAGAAAACTTTTGAAAACTTATAGAACATGTAAAATGCAATGATAGGATAAGAAACTGAATTCGTGAGATAGATAGATGGTCATGTTTGCATGGAAATGTAAAAACCTGAAATCACACTGTTCACCAAAAGAGATGTAAAAGATTAAAAGTAAAACAAAACTTTTTGGAAAAATAAAAGCATTAAAAAAAATTAAGAAATTTGATTTTGGGTTCCCTGCCCCCAACAAAATCCCCCAAATTCACATTTCCTTCCGAGAAAAAAACACCCAATTCCTCCTGAATTCCAGGGATTTCTGCTTTTGTATACTCCGCCACCCCCACCCCAGGAGCTAACCCAACCGGCGGAGTTCCCTCAACACAGCTAATAACAGATGATCAAGAATTGGAAGGGGACCCTTGTAGGTCATCTAGTCCAACCCCCTGCCCAGACCCTACACCGTTTCGTGTGTGCAGGTCAGACTGATTCCCGCAGGGAAGGCATTCAGACAAAAGGTTAAACCTCAGCCGCGCATTTCTGTAGAACTCCGTATCATTTCCCCAAATAAATAAACAAGCAAATAAATAAAAATAAATAAATAAATAAATATAAATAAATAAACTCATGTTGGGAGGGGGGTCTTGTGCGTGAAAGTCATCCTTTCTATCAGGGCTATCAGCAATGCCAAGTCTTGTGCCAGACAGTGGAAAAAGAAAAATAGCAAAAAGAGACTTAAGGATAGAATCATAGGATGGGAAGGGACCCCCCAGAGGTCCTCTAGCCCAACCCGCCGCTCAAAGAGTGTCCTCTTCTTTTCCTTCTCCTGCCATACCACCCTCGCCAAACCTCCCCACCTGGGTCCTGCGGAATTCATGCCCTCCCCACCAGTGGATCCCTTCCTGGGTCACCTGTCCTGCGGAATCCATGTCCTCCCCAGTGGATCCCTTCCTTTTTCCCGATCCGGTTTGCGTTTCTCAGCTTGCAGGCTCCTTCCAGCCTGTCGGTCTCTTCTCAATGCTGGAAAAAATAAAAAACCACCACGGCACCCGGCAAGGCCTCCCGTGATGTAATCTGGGTGGAGGGACTGGCATCGAACTACTACGCCCAGCCTTTGCTGGCTCCGGTTACAAAACCGCCCTCCCTGCAATTAAAAGGACGACACAACAACACAACACAACACTCCACCGCTGGGCTGGAAGCAGCCAAGCCCTCAAGACACACAATCTTGCCCAGGAGGTGACTAACCACAGCCGGATGGTGCCGGAAGGGAGGGAGGGAGGGGGCAAAGGAAGCTATTACAGGGTCCCCCCTACCCCCACCCCCAAATCTCCCAAGCCCAGGTATCTAGTTCATCCCCTTCCCTTTCGGGTTTTTCCAACCGTTCCGAATAACAGAATTGGAAGGGAGCTCGGAGGTCTTCTAGACCAACCCCCTTGCTTAAGCAGGAGACCCTGTAACATTCTGGACGAATGGCCGCCCAATGTCTTCTTGGAAACCTCTGTGGATGGAACATCCACGACTTCCATCAATCAGTCAATCAGAATAGAGCCGGAAGGGACCTCAGAGGTCGTCTAGACCAACCCCCTTGCTTAAGCAGGAGACCCTGTAGCATTCTGGACAAATGGCCGCCCAATGTCTTCTTGGAAATGTCCGTTGATGGAGCACCCACAACTTTTGAAGGCAAGCCGTCCCTCTGATTAATTGGTTTGAGATTAGAGAAGGCACCTTGGAGGTCTTCTAGTCCAACCCCCTGTTTAGGCAGGAAGCCCTATACCACTTCAGACAAATTGGCTCTCCAGTCTCTTCTTAAAAAACTTCCAATGTTTGGAGCAGCCACCACTTCTGGTGGCAAGCAGTTCCACTGGTTAACTGTCCTCACAGTTACGAAGTTTCTCCTTAAATTCCAGGTTGCTTCTCTCCTCCATAAGTTTCCATCCGTTGCTTCTTCACCTGCCTTCAGGTGCTTTGGAGATTAAGTTGACCCTCCCCTCTTCTTCTTCTTTGGGGCAGACCCTCAAATACTGGAACATGCTATCATGTCACTCCTAGTCCTTCTTTTCATTAAACTAGACAGACCCGGTTTTCTTCAGCTTCGCGCTCTGCCTGCAGTGTGGGGCTGGGCAGAGGAGTTGTAACCCATCCCAGGGGGACAGGATGAACCGACGAGGGTCCCAGATATTGAGGTGGGCCGCAAGGAAGACATAAGGGAAGTTTCTATAACTCCCTAAATCAATAACTCTCAAACGTGGCCATTTTAAGACACGGGGACCTCAACTCCCAGAATTCCCCAGCCAGCATAGCTATCACCAGGAGACGGGGAGTTCTAGTCCCGCCTTAGGCA